CAGTTAGAAATCAGACAGAATTGCGTTGCACACATATAAGCCCGGCGACTTGGAACACAGGGCAGGAGTATTGCACCACCCATGTCGGTCTGAGCAATTGGGCAAGACGATTTGTCAGCATCGAGTAAAACGTCTGTCCACATATCATCACTCTGAAGTAATGTGTCTCACATGCCCAAGGTCTTCAATTAAATCTCCACTACTGAGCTATCAAAGAAAAACCGGATACGCATCTGATATGAATCTGTAGATATATTTCTTCAACATTGGTGAGGTTCTTCTCTCTAGAATATACAACTCACAAGATTGTTTCCCAGCTTCCATTGTTCATGAGGCACCACTAATGAAGTTATTCTTAGAAACTAAACTGGAAAACCATTAGGAACCAGTTTTGGTCAAGAGACCACTACTCCGAGTTTGGTTTCTGGTTTTGTTGAGCGTTGGTCTTTTTCTCTGTAGAGAGGTGAGCCTGTCTAGTCACACTGTCTGGCTTGCATCACTGTCAAAGGATCCATATCATCAGTAAACAGACTTAGCCCTGAGAAGTCTGACCACAAGACACCAATTCTGAAAAGAAGACGCATCCCTTCCTATTTCTGACTAATGCTGATTCTGGCAATCCTTGAAATTCACTTCACGTTGGGCAGTCACCTGTCTTCTATTCTGGGGTGCCAAATTCCCGTGCTGCTCCTCTCTTCATTTCCCTTGGTTGCCTGAATGTCTGAGCAGCGCTGTTGCCTGAGACTTGGGCACTTTTCCCTACACAGTGACTACATCTCTCTGGAGAAAGAGGTAATCACGAATCTTTGTTGTGTGTTCAATAAGTGGCAAGAGAGGGAAATCCCCGAAATCCCACCAAGTCACCCTGGATTCCTCACATGCTGAAGGCCACCCGCTCATGTTAGGGCCTGGAGAAGCCCAAGGAAATGGCCCGTGGAGAATGGCACAGCCGAGATAAAGCGCAGAGCTATATTTACCTTAGAACACAACACTGCTTTCACACTATTGGCACCCAGCTCCTAAACCCACCTGCCCCCGTTTTGATGTCACGGGGCTAAAGCCTTCCGTCCAGCCCTGCCTCCACCAAGCCTAGGAGTTCCTCACCCTTGCGCGGAAGCTGTGCTTGCGCTGGGCAGAGAGGGTTTGTGTTGTTATGGGATCCGAAAGGAGCTGTAAACTGAATTGCTCATCAATCCACCCAGATTCCCAGCAGGCTTCCTTGGTGGCTCTCCGGAGGAGGCCACGGGAACAGCATGTGGGGAGGTGCACAGCAGAGAGAAAGCGCGGCATCAGTGGAAAGCCACCCTCATCAGGCTCCTCCTCTGGGCTGTGTGTGTCACCGGAGAGAATCAGACGGAGGAATCTCTCCGGCCTTTTCCCACTGGCCACATTCTGTAGTGCAGTCCGTACGGGGTAGGACACGTAGGCTGCTGGTGCAAGGCAGAGTTCACATAATGTCAGAAGGATCCTTCCAGGTTTGAAGCAGCCTGGAAGTAGCGACCGTTTTGCACGTCCTTTCATTCAGCCAGCCCAGCTGTCCAGTGTAGTTGCGAGGCAATGGTTTTCAGTGAGTGGCGATTTTGCATTTCAGAAAACATGGATTTGTCTCCAGATTTTATTATCATGGCTTAGAGGGGAACAGAATTTTCTGACATCATATGAGTTTAGGCCAAGCCTGATGCTAAGTAGTATACAACAAATAATATAGCACTATAATTAAACACTATTCTGATACATTGACATGTTTACCTACCTTTTTGGTTTTATTTATCAACTGAGTCTTAAGCCCTTTCCTCCTTTCCACAGGTCCAGTAGGTGGGGCTTTACATTTAAACCCAGTTCTGAATTACACAGAAACATCATTTTTACAAGATCCATAGTTGAAGCATTCCTTGGCTCTTCTGTATTGAGATCATTCCTCGTTACGAAATCATGGACAACAGGGAGGGGCAAAGGGGTTGAAGGGAGGATAGGTGAATAGGGAAAAATGGGAACCAAGATATATCATGGACAGGTATAAATTCCCAATGATGAGTGTCATCATGGTGAACATCTAAAATGTACCAATAAACTTAGTGAATAAAAAAATCCAGTAATTTGGCTCAGTAGTGCCACTGCACAAGCTCCTGAGTTCGATCCCTGGCACAAAAAAAAAAAAAAACAAACAAACAGAAAAGAAAAATGAAATGAAATTATGAGCAGTTCCCCAGCCACTAAAAGTTTAGAATTTTCATGTAAGATGTTTCAAGAGTCTTAGGAATTCTTCTAGCAGAATTCCTATATTATGACCCAGTAATGTAATATTCTATGCATGTTATCACAATTTTGATGGTGTGTCAGGCTGCGTACCACAGTAAATATGTCTCCAGAATGCACCTGAAATATCACCACATTCAGTGTAACGCATTTTCTAAGAAGTGAAGTAGAATTGATCCTCCAGGGAATTAAAACTTAGGTGAGTTACACTAGATGTGTTCAATTTCATTAGAGAAATAACTCAGTGGGTCAGCAGTGTTGTAAGGAATCAAGAGATTGTGTTAATAACCTTATCAGAGCATGTAAATCTGCAGGCACAAAGAAGCTTGTGAAATTATTCACAAAGAATGGTCGGGGATCCACCAGTACACAGAGAAAGCGAACAATTTGCGTTTGATTAGATGCCTCTGTACAGTTTGTCCTCTAGAAATGTCTCATGGCATCTTTGTATTCCCGTAAGTGATATTTCTCTCACATGTTTTAACTCCATATTCAGTATGTTAGAGTTGTCCTTTTCTACTTACTGGACAAACACAGATGGGAATAAGCACTATCCTTGTTTCAGTTCAAAGACCTGATTTGGGTATATATTGACAGCCACAAGTTGTGGAGAAGAGGAAAGTAGGTGAAACACGTGTGAATGCTATTGGAAGGTTTTTCTTTCCAGGGGTAATTCGTGATTTCTATAGGTTATTCCTTAAAAGCGATTATGCTAAACGGGGGGTTGATGGAAACGTAATATGTACATACAAATGATATCTTTGAAGAATAGTCCTAGAGAAAACTCATATAATCTTCTGAGGAAAGGGTGGATATATTTGGCAGTTCATTTTGCTTAGACACCAACTATTAATTGTATTAGGTTTTTTGCTGAAGTTATAAAACACACGAGACATAGAAATTAAGAATGAAAATTTTTAGTTCGACTCATGGTTCAGACATTGAAGTGTGTTGTTTTTTGTCTTCTAAGGAGAGTTACAATAGTGGAAAAAATGAACAATGAAGGTAATGACCATGTGGGAGGCAGAAATTAGAGAGCGGAACAATGCCTACAGAAAAGGGGGAAAGAAAAGGTGTAGTCTCCAATGTCACAGTCCCGTGACTCAACCAGACACAGCAGAACGCTTTACTAGTATCCCACAGACCATTCCACCCAAACAAGATGGCCGTCAGGAGTGCTTCATGGCTCCAGGGGATGTGCTTCTTGTAGAAATATTAATGTGCTGAAAGATGGGGTGCTTTAATGAGCAGAGAACTACAGGGCATGGGGACCTTAAAGTCTGAGGTCCTTAGGTGTCCCCGCCGCTTCACCAGGCAGTGATCTATCATAGGCTTGGATTTCAGCAATCATTCTGACCCTCTGGCTTGGACATATGTTTGCTTCAAAATTCATGTTTTCATGATGATACTTGATAGAAGAGGTTGCCGGTCTGATTTAGGTAAAATGTTTGATTTTTTTTTTTTTTTTTTGCAGCATCGCAGAATACTGCTATAATTTACCTGCAGTTTTTTCAAGAATCGTATTGCTTTTGGGGGCACATAATTATTTTCTTGACTAAAACGAGTACATTGAGAGATCCATTGTGACAAAAACATGTCCAGGAAGCCAGGTGGCTGACAGCAAGTTTCTGACCATGTTCGACATCGGCCCCTCCCTCTACTCCCTTGTGCTCAGACCCTGGCTGGATCCCTCACAACTGTGACTTCTCCGTGGTGTGGTGATTCTGGCATTATTCTAGTACACTTTTGACCCCATGCTGAGGGGCGAGTCAAAGGAAGAACCCTCGGAGTCCCTTAAGAAGACAGGATATTCAGGCGTTGTTGGTGCATAGCTCTGATGCCAGCACTGGGGAGGCTGATGCAGGAAGCTCACAGCTAGCTCAAAGGCAGCCTGGGTATGTGGTGAGTTCAACAACAGCCTAAAGCTTTGAGAAGCCATGAGGAAGCTCTTCTTAAATTCAGTTTTCCCTTCCAGTTAGGACAGGTAGAAGTCTGGGAGAGACACCACTGTAGAACTCTCTAAATTACACACTAGAAGATGAACTTGGGGTGATGATCAGGGAATAGAGTGGCCACAGCCACCTGTTTCCAGGCATGTTCCATCAGCAGGCAACTTTTAAGCAAAGCACCCCCATGCCTAACAAAGTTGGCACAGTGTGTGGTCATTTCATGTCATGTGAAAGCACCTTTAATCTTTTTTATTATTTTTAAATACTATATTTGTTAAGTAAATAAAAGAAATATTGGAAAATTGGGTGCTTCTCCTGGAAAGTTCCAGTAAAACACACAAACATGGTCTGGATTCACTGGCTTTGTAAACAAGTTTGAAAATGAACGAGAGCAATTAGACACCTATCTTTTATCAATTTTTAACTGAGACTTGTACTTAACACTTATTTAGTAGTTTTTACACTCAGGAGAAATACGCTTTGAATTTTGGCTAACATTGTGGGATGTTTAATTGCTTTCTCCATTTTTAAAACATGATTTCGTTTTTTTTGTAAATTTAAACCACCTTTGAATAGCCTTTTTCTTTTCTTTTCCAATAGACCAATTACTACTCATGAGTCGGCAGAACATTTGTTTTCTGTATTCTCATAATAAATGTAAAATATTTGTAGAAAAAACAAGTCTTACGAGTGAACTCCGCTCACGCAGGCAGGGATTTGTCTCAGCAGGAACAGCGGCCAATCACTGATTGAGAGGCGGGCATTATGACCTGTCCAATCAGAGGAGAGCAGAAAGTAGGGCTCTTCCGGTGTCATGGCGCCCAGGTCTGCAGCCTGATCACTTTACTGAGAGCTGCGCTGTCTTGACCGCATTGCTCCATGGCGCCCACCGGCTTTGTGTTGCGTGAGAAGGACCCCGGGAGACACTGATGCCACACAATGGCGACGGTACAAACTGGGGTGCGGTTGGGGTGAGGTGTCAGTGGAAGTGCCAGAACCAGCAGTTGCAAACCGGAGTCTCCCTGCGTGCTGCAGTCTGAGGACCTCCTGGTCTCCAGCACTGGTACCCCAGTCTCTAGGCTGGGACTGGTCCAGCTCTCGGTCCCCAGCGTTCTGCCTACCACAGCGATCACACAAGCCCTGAGTGCAGGCTCAGACAGCCCCAGCCCGTAGCCAGGTGTCCACCTGTGCGGGGGAGATTGGGCCGTGGGAAGATGCAGGTGCGGGGTTGACTGAGGGGACTCGGCTGTGCTGGATCCCTGGTCCCATTTCTCCCTGCGGCACACCTGGAGGACCTGTGTTTTATCAGTGTCTCTGATGCAGGGTCTAAAACCCAAGACTGCCCTCCTCGAGGGGAAAGGTCCTTTTTGTGATAACCGACATCCTAAATTTGCTGTATTGCCCAAACTCCTGATAGCTATTGAAAAGGCCATAAGACTCTAAAAAAATGTGTACCATTGGAGACAATGTAACTTTGATGGAGCACTTGCCAAGCAAGGCAGTGAAATCGTGTGTTAGACACAAAACAATGAAAAAAATTATCAACTTAATGTTTTAGGTGTCGCCCCTGCTCAGAAATAAACCATTTAAGTGAGTTCTTCTCATAGCATTTAGAATGCTGAGAAAAATGGAGAGGATGGTAGTGTGTTACAAGGACAGCTGAAAGTGTCCCTTTCTTTGCACATGCTCGACACTTGGAGAACCACTTTGAACTGGGGCATCTACATGGGCTTGTGCTGTGGTAGGCCTGCAGAAGGAGAAGGCAATGCTGTAGTCCTTGGACTGTATGTAGACACTGTTTTCAGTATTGAAATGCTTTGAAGTGGACTTTGCAATGTAAGATTATTGAATTACGGGTAAAACCCCAGAGTTAAAGTCTGCAAGCATATGGATGCCTAAGGATAAAAAAAAGTTTTCTGTGGATGGAAGAACAAATAGAAGGAGAGAAAGTGAGAGAGGAGGGGATCCTGGAGGTTTCCAAAATCAGCACCTACAACAGAGAAGGTTTTCCTCCGAGGTTACCTTGTTTTTAGTGTGACACAAAAGGAAGGATTGTGTGCTGGTTCAGTGTGAGAGTGGCTCAGAGATCACAGGCGTGAAGGAAGGAGAGGAGCTCATTAAATGTTAGAAATATATGTCTTCTGTTACTAATGATCAGGTAACCTAATCATTTGAGGAAACACTGAAAATTACAGAACTTCTGGGCCTTGTTGTGGGCTTAAAACTTAGGCAGATGCCATCATCTCATCTAAGTGTGATGGGAACAGGTATCTCCATGATACTAATGATTTAAAGATGTGGTCGATGTTTTTATTGTGCAAGAGAGTGGACTAGAGGATTTTGTTCTGAACTGTATTCCCCACAGATTTTGATTTCTTTTTCTTTTTCTTTTTTTTTTGTATTTTGAGACCAGGTTTCACTAAGTTGTCCGGTAAACTTTTCGCAGACATATGCCACCTTGCCAGGCTAAAATGTGAGTTTATTACTCACTACTACCATCCAAGAGTACAGTGTAGGGTAAATGAAACATCAGTAAAACATGCTGGTGCACACCTTTCGCCAGCTACCTGAGGTTCTGAGACAGGTGTATTGCAACATCAAGTCCACCATAGATAATTGAGCAAGACCCTATTTAAACGTGAAAGAAAAATACTGCAGATTTTTCTCCACTCTAATGTAACTTTTCTAACATGTTCTACCCTTAGTTCAATTTCTAGTACTGAACAATAAAAGACAAATCACAAGAATGCAGTGGAAACCTAGATTGACTTTTGAATTTTATAATTTTTTTACACTAGTGGTGCATGGTACAGCACTTGCTCGACATTCTGCACCCCAGTAAGGACTCACTGTTGCCCCCAACAGGCTACCAAGGGAAAATCGCTAGAGACGGACAGAACACCCTATTTAATAACGTACATACAATATTTATGTTTTTATCATGAAATAGGCTTTGGTTACAGAATTATCCTGACTAAGGGTCAAGGGTATCATGGTGAGCAGTTTTAAAGGAGCCAAGGATTATCAATGCTGTTTGAAAGATTAGATGTATTCATTATATCTATACTGCATCGATACCTTTTATTCCTGCCTTCCTTTGGATTGATTAAGATGCTTTTTTCTTGTGAATTTAAGCAACATTTGTAGAATCATTCTTTCAACTCTGGTTGAAGTGCTTTTCTTAGAATATGAAAGAGTAGATTGTCTGTTTTTTTTTCTTTTTATTGAGTTTATTGGTACATTCTATGTATACAATACAGTTACATTCATTACTGGGATCTGGTACCTTTACATGACAGGTCTTGGTTCTCATTTTTTCCCCTTGTCCCTGCCCTCCCTTCACCCCCTCTTACGCTCCCCATTTACAAACACTTTATTTCCATTTCTCATATTTTTTCTTTTCCCTTATTCCCTTTCCCCTACCCTTCCCACTTTCTCTACACCTTTAGCCCTTTTCTTCCTGTTTCACATAGTAGATTGATCCTTGTGTTGAGTTCGATGTTGATGTTTTTGTGGGACAATATTATGAGTAACGTATGGATGAGGGTGCTCTAATCAGGGTTTTGTTTTGCTCTGGTGTGATTTGACTTGTTATTATTTTCCTGTGTTACAGAGAGGTGTACCACTGTGATAATACTGTCTGGATTGCTTCATCAGGAGAAGGGGGATTAGATGAAAATAGTCCATGAACAGATACAAGACTGCAACTTTGACCAAAAGACACCAAGCTTCAGCAATGCTAAAAAAAAAACCCAACTACATTTTTTTTAGTTTTAATTTTTGCTGATTCTGGCTACCCTTCTTTCTCACCCTTGTAGAAAAGATCTGGATTTTTATTGTAGGTTTCTTTGCTGCCTCTTCTTTACCCTTCGCGGGCTGAAGACAGGTCTGCCTGGTACTGTCACCTCTAAGACTGGCTTGTCACTCCTTTGCAGTGACATATCTCTCTGAGGAAAGAGCTGACACCGAGCCTTTGTTATGTGTTTCATGACTGACCGGAGACTGCAGTCCTCAAAATCCCACTGAGGCCTGCTGCATCCCCACACTCTGGAGCACCCCCTCATGTCGGGATACTGGAGAAGCCATGGATTGGCACAGTGAGATAAAGCAGTGAGCTTCCCTTCAAGGCGCCCCTTGGTGTGGGCTGTGCACCTCCCAGTGAATGTGTAGGCACCAGGCGCTGACGTCTGCTGGCTTTTTTACTGTAGCTGGATCAGAAATGCAGCTCAGGTAGGGAGGTCAAGAGTGAAGAGTCTGGGAGTACAGACTTAGAGGCACTGAGGTGGGCATGCAGAGCCAGAGAGATGGCAGCTCTTGCTTCTTCTTCTTCTTTTTTCTTTTCTCTCTTTTTTTTTTTCCTTTCAAGGCACCATGCTATTCAGGAGCTTATGTGTCTGGATGCATCTGCTAAATCAGCAGATTCAGCCCCTGTGATTCCATACTTGGAAAATCATGCAAATGGAATGTCAACACCTTATTTGCCTTTTCCACACTTATGGAAACGTAGGCTTGTGTGGTTCTCTCAGTGATATAAATCCCACAGGGAACATTCTGTTTCTTGCTGACCTAGAGTCAGGTTTTGATAGATGCTCAGAACCACATTTCCTGGTGCCTGGACTGTGTATTCTCTTAAAATCTTAATATATTCCATCACACTCCCACCACAAGTTGGCAGGAATTCCTGTCTCTCAGAACCAAATTCTAATGTGATGAATTCACAATGAAACGCATTTTTTCTTTTATGCCTTTTGTTTTCCCTTTCTGGTGTAAGCTGTTCTGTGTATTGTCTGCTTATATCCTGTGCTCCTATTTGTGATGAGGAACCTTCTTTTGTAAACCTTTTTTTCTTTTCCAAATACTTCTTTGTCACGTATAGAGAATGAAAATAGAGTACTTTGGGGTTTTTTTTCCTCTGCTTGCTAATTTCCTCAAGGACTTTTTTTTTGCTGAAGAAATCCTAACTCCTATGCTTTTATATCTTTTTAAGCCACCTTCACTTTTGTGACTTTACAATTTTATTTGTAAAGTTTTCCTAACATCAAATGCAGAAAGTCATTTTCTTGTACTTCTATATTTTGCAGTTCCACATTCCTTTTTCTGAATGATGTCTGCCTGGTGTGCAACTTTGAAAGTTTGCACTGTGATAATCAGCTTTACTTGGCGTATGATATGAGCAGTTTACCACCATAAGTGAGTGATCACTCACCTCTGCCTCTTCATTTCCACTTCCGGCCTTAACAAATCTGTTTAGAATAAAGCAGCAGTGTCTCTTGATTTGTTTTTCAATTTAATGTGGCCACATGCTGTTTGAGATTGAGTCTAAATGAATTTCACTCTTTAGCATGTTCCAAGCAAAGAAATGTATATCCTTCCTCTTTATTTTTGAGATTTGAAAAATACAGCGATTTCCTTTGTTTTTCATAAAGTTTTCTGGAACATTTTTCACATTTGTACTTCATTCAGTGGTAGTAGAAATAGCATTTTATTAAGGATTATATATAAGGAATATATAGTGTATCATATCATCAAAGTTAAGTCTGTGCAGATCATCTTTTTTTTTTCTCCCATTAGCTCAAGACAGAATCTGTGTAATTCAGTCTGCCTTGAACTTACTGTATAGCCTAGGCTGGTCTTGAACTTGTGGAGGTTGGGTTTCAGCCTCCTGAGTGCTGGGATTACAGGCATGCACGACTGTGCACAGCTATCCAATTTGACTTGTATATAGTATTTTTATCTTTGAATATGTTGCAGATTTTTAGAACATTTCTTTATAGTGTTAGATAAAATGTATGTATAGATCTTGGGTAGTATGTGAAATAACCTGCAGGTGGCAATAAAATCTTTCCTTTGCCATGATATTTGAGGAAGATTTTTTGTGCACAAGAAAATAATTTCATAGAGTGAAGAAACAGAGTGGAACATTTGTTATATCCTTTTAATGCAGACATTAGCAGTTTTTCAAAAATTGATACAAGTTCAATTTTTATTTTTTGAGACAGGGTCTCCCTATGTAGTTCAGGCTGGTCTTGACTCACTATGTAGCTCAGGATGGCCTTGAACTCCTGGTGATCCTCCTGCCTCGGTCAGCAGAAAGCTAGGATTATAGGCATTTATGACCACATCCTCCTATCTGGTCAATCTTTTAATTCAACATATTTTGGTACTGTATTTTTTTCCCTCAGATGTTCATTATATTCACATCTCACAGGTACATTTTTGCACTTTTGATTCTATTAATAACAGATTTTTGTATTTTAAATGGTACTGAATTTAAAACTGATTCCTAAACACACATAAACAAACGATCTTTTGTTTTCTGTTCCTATTGTCTGTTCACCTTGAGAAAAGACATTTGAGAGCTGTTTCTTTACCATGTGTCTATTAAAATCAACAGCACTGTGGTTTTTTTCCAGCTGTTGTTCTTTGGCAGCACAGGTGTTCTTGTCGTTGTTCTACAGTGTTACGCTAGGATACTTTTGTCATTTGTGGTAGTGACTTTGTCTCTTCCATTTTGATCCCTTATGTCACTTATTCATCTTTGCTACAACCCCAGACATGAGTTTGTTTCCAAGTTTTAGCTATTATAAATTGTGCCACTATGCACATGGGTGCACATATGTATATCACTGTGATATGATTCTTTTAATTCTTTTGGAAAGATAACCAAGCAGAGGGATGGCTGGGTCAAAGGAACCTCTAGTCCTAGTTCTTTGAGGTGTCTCCATATTGATTTAAACAGTATTTTCTTTTTTCTTTCCGGTGTGTGTGTGTGTGTGTGTGTGTGTGTGTGTGTGTGTATGTGTGTGTATTTTCTAATGCACACTTGTAGTTGATGAGCTGCTGTTTTATTCTGGATTTGAAAATCTGCATGCTGAGATGCAGTTAGCCTGTAATTGTTTTTTCTTTTAAACATATTGGCAAGTTTTGGCAAAGATTGCATTTACTAATGAGATGTAAAGATTTCCTAACCTTTGTAAAGTTCCTGACATTTGAGACCATGTCAGCTAAGCATACATTTTTATTACAATGTTCGCATAGCTGTATGTTTGCTATACATAGCAAATATATTAATCAGAGGGAATATCTTAATCTTGATCAGTATCATAAAAGTTTGAGTGAATCCCTTGTAACACCGTTGAGAGATGAATTTGTGGAGGGAAGTTTTTTGTTGTTTTGTTTTGTTTGGTTTTGGTTTTGAGACAGAATTTCCCTACATAGTTCAGGCTGGCCCTGAGCTCACTGTAGCACAGGCTGGCCTAGAACTCACAGCGATCCTCCTGTCTCTTCCTCCTGGGTACTGTGATTTCAGGCATGCGCGGCTAATCACCACTTCACTTGCTTGGCTAATTACTGGATTCTCTTATTCTTCACATTCCTAAGCAGTTACACATGTACTCTCAAGTTTATTAAATAATAATTTGGTCATACGTTTCATTTCCCTTAAGATATCTTTGATTAAGCCGTTGCAGGGGTAAGCAGAGGTAATCTCAGCGTTCAGGGGCTGATGCGACAGGATCGGAAGTTGGTGCCCATCACAGGTCACATCGGGAGACCTTTACTCAGACTCTGTGATTTCTGTGCCTTTTATAAGTAGTTCTTATTTTCATCATGATTTTATTGCTGTTCTGTCTGCTTATTACTCCCACTTTTGTTTACGTTTTCCAATGTGTTGATTCCTCCTCCATTAATTTTTGGTTGTTTTTCCAATGAAGTATTTTGTAGGAAAACAGGACTAGTGACATTCCTTCCATCTTAACTCTTTTATAGTCGTATGATTTACAGAAATTTAGGCTTGAGAGTCTAAGTGTACTTTGCTTGTAAGGTATGGCGATTGTTATCTTAGTTTGAACATCTGGTCTCACCCTGGGGATGCGGCTGAGCACCTCTGGCATCTGTTCATCTTATAACATTTTAAACTGGGGCTATGTGCCATCAGACTTTGTAGTTAATGATGAAACCTCTGATATTGTTGTCCTAAGAAACAAGAAAAGCAAAGCTAATTACAGAAGTGAAAGACAGCAGTTATTCTATATTTCCTTAACGTTTTGTAGGTTTCAGACTGTTTGCAGAAGTTCTCTTTATCAATTGCATGGATTTGAGTCTTTTCTTTCCTTTGTTTGTTTGTTTTTTTTGTTTGTTTGTTTATTTGTTTGAGACAGGATCTCACTGTGTAGTTGAGACTGACCTGGAACTCACTATGTAGCCCAGGCTGATCTCGAACTCACAGTGATCCTCCTGCCTCAGCCTCCCAAATGCTGGGATTACAGGCATGTACCACCATGCCCGGATTTCCTCTATTTGTAATATTCTTTTTTTTTTCTTGACGTGTCAACTTGATAATTATGTGTCTTGGTGAACCTCTCTTTGTATCATAGTTGTTTGGTATTCTGGAAACCTTGCTTGTATATTGGAATCTCTTAACATGGCTAGATGGCCCCCAAAGCCTCATGCAGTAATAGGTGGGATTTTTTCAGAGGTGAATTAATCTAGAGTGTGTGATTGAGTCATGGTGAAATGCTAGGATTAAGATTAGGTGATTACTCAATCAGTCCACTGACTGGTTTGGCAGTGCACTAATCCCAGTAGCCGGCATACAACAGAAGAGACAGAAAGAGCCTTGTCTTCTGTCTTCCTTGCTTTGCTACCAGCTCATCATGTACTGAAAACTAGACAGACTTTAAGCTAGATAAACCTTTCCCCTTAAACTTTGGGCGCTGAGTATTTTGTCTCAGGAATGAGAAAATAATTAAGACACCTCTGCCTCCCAAATGATGGGACTGCAGAAACTCACCCTAACCTGCTCACCACCATGCCTGACAACCAGCTAATGCTCTGGCCCCTGTTTGCTGTGTGTCTGGAGGCCTCATGTTAACACTGTAGCTTTGTTTCCTGCTGTTCAATCTGTAAATACTCTCTCATTTTTCCATGTTAGAATATACACAAACATGTATAATATTTTTCTATATTGTAATTTAGTGTTTTAATATTTCACTAGAAATTTTACCAACAAAATTTTGTGATAAGATTTAACAATAACAAGAATATGAATATCCTGCCAACCCTAAGAAAGGTTTATACCTGGGCCTTGAGCAGTGTTTACGAGTATCAGGTTAAAGCCTATTTGACTCACCCTTGTCTTTTCTGTAGATGACCGCTGTCTGCTGTCTATTGCTATTTTTCCTAAGTCTACCATTTGGTGTTATCCCTAGGCAGTATTGTTTTAGTTTTAGCCCCTTGGAATGTTGAATAAGTGAATTCTCTGGAAATTGTACAGAAAAGCGTTGTGAGTGGTTTCTTTGTCACTAGGCTTCACATGTGCTTATGTCTGAGATGGGAAAAATGCTTCTGATCCATTCCAGTGGTCACATGGTTGAAGTTATCTCAAGTTTAGTTGTCATTGATGTGAAAAGAATCGTATCTGTCTCCAGGAACAACAGCACAATGTATTTTCTGAAAATTAAATTAGTGCCGGAGATTTAGCTCATTGGTTCCGCTGCCTGCCTCACAAGCACAAGGACCCAAGTTTGATCCCTGGTACAAAAAAAAGAAAAGAAAAAAAAATTAAAATTACTGGTCTGGAGGTTTCCATATACTGCAAAGTAGAGGTAATGGTAGTGGAGTGGAGTGTTTGATCTACTAGTATTATCATTATTTTTTTTTTTGGTGCCGAAGATTGAACTCAGGACCTTGCGCTTGCAAGGTGGGCAGTGGAACCACTAAATTAAATCCCTGGCCCCTGGTCTACTGTTCTTACATTTAGTTATTAGTTGTGCCTTTCCACAATTTCATTTCCTTTAATTATTTCCTTAACCAAGATCATGGATGCTATTTTATATTAGGTTTTTCTTTTGAGTTATGTGTATTTTGTTCATTTTTCCAAGTGTTCATTGTTTTTATACTCTGTACATAAATCGCTTTTATTGTATACACTGCAAATTTTTAAAATTTCTTGTCCATTTTACATCCCATGATTCACACAGAATTCATTTTGTCCCCATATTTCCAATTCCTTCTGGATTTCCTACTGAAATAAAACTTTTTTTTTTTGGTATTGGGGATTGAATTTGGGATCTTGCACTTGTGAGGCAGGCAGTGGAACCATTGAGCTGAATCCCAGGCTGGAGATAACACTTTTTAACTTCCAAAATATATTTGCCTGTGATTTCTCGAAGTATGCAAGTTCATATTTCTATGTGAAGATGTAATTATTGTTCATGGAATATGGAGAATAAAGTGCATGTGTTGATATATGTACCTGTTTCTTCCTGTGTCTGTATTCAACAGATTGTGATTTTTGTGACTTTGTACAATAACAGCTCCGTCATGAGTCAGTATTCAGTTTACAGATGAGCCACTGAAGGCTGTCTTTACTTTCTGTGATCTGTGTGTCATTCACTCTGCTAATAGTACAGTGCCCAAAAGCAGATTTTAAATTTTTATATAGTAGGCAAATTCAACATTCTGCTCACCAGTAATGAAACATTATTTAACGTTTATTATATTGAACACATATAATTTAACTGAAAATCAAAACCATGATTTGGAAGTGACAAAAATTTTTCTATTATTAGTTAACTTTGTAAAATTTCATATAATACATATATCTATTTTGATCGTATCCATCCAACCCATTGCTCTCCCTTCCACCACCTAGAATTTTTTTGTAAGTCTATGATAGTTCACTATTTGTGTCATTGAGACATGAGATATTATACTGTCCTTAATTTAAATACATTGTCATTAAACACTGAATTAAATAATATAATGTTTTTCATTAACATTTAATTTTAATATACCATTCATAAATTTTATGAATGTGTCCAATTAAGGTTTAGCCTATGAAACCAAGTTCAGGGTTCCCAATATTGTCTGAATAAAATCAGAGAAGGAAAGGATCCATTTCCCAGGTGACAAGTTGAGAAAAGAGATGTTCTCTGTGTTGTCAGAATAATCCCTTAGGTACTCATCTACCTTGGATATTATTTGGATGTTGATTTGATAAGCTCCCTCTATGACCCATGTTTTATAGACAGTGTACAAATAAAACTATCTAACCAGCAGGAAAACGAGTGCTCCCATTCTGCTGTGGCTTTAGCAAGGACTTCAGTCTAGCATCAGATTTCCTATGCGCGGTTTGCATATTGCAGAGTAAGTGTTGGAAAATAAGTGTTGATGACCAAAGCATGGACCAAAGCCTTTTGAAGGGCTCAACACCGTTTCAGCTGATTATGAGTGGAGTTGAAATGTGCTCTGCTTGAGTCTCTGTCTTATTCCTGGCAATATGTGTGATGGTTTAGGAGGCAGTGACCTTTGAGGATGTGGCTGTGGACTTCACTTTGGAGGAATGGGCTCTGCTGGATCCATCCCAAAAGAAGCTCTACAGAGACGTGATGTCAGAAACACTGAAGAACATGTCTGCTATAGGTAAGCAAGATAGTCATTTTCTAATTTGTATACATAGAGAGCGCTGCTTCTTATTGATTGGTAAAGATTTATTTGTTAGAATATGAGTGCATTTTGATGAATATTCCTAACATGGGCAGTTAATATGATGATTATAACTGATATCCATTAATTTTTGTGTAATAGTGTGTAGTAACTCATATTTCTATTTCTACACTTCAGAACACACCCAGACTGACCAGCAAATGGAAAATGGGAGCGAATATTGGCAAAGAAATCTAAGGTAATTTGCACTCACCATAAAAAACTAATGTGCCTGTCATGGTCACATACTTGTTATCCCACCACTCAGCAGGCTGAGTCAGGGGACTTGCTGTGAGTTGAAGGCCAGCCAGGGCTACATAGTGACATCATAGCCAACCTGGATTACACACGAGACCTTGTCTCCAAAAATAAAAAATAAAAATAAATAAATACTTCTCAGGAGTCAGAGAATGAATAGAAATTAGTTCTCTGCTCAAAATTATAAATTATAAAAATATTGTATGGAATCACATTTAGGCATTGGCTATAGGTGTATAGGAAATGAATTTTATGTTTAACCTAGGAGTGCAGGGTATCTTTAATTATGTGTACATGGGAGCATTTTCTAAGGACTACTTTCATAAGAAACTTGTTATTTAAAGAAGGTTATCTGTATTTAAATGTAGTACACACATTCAGTATTTGCCAAGTTGCTAACCTTGGGAAAAATTGAAATGAATCCCACTGTGTTGATAAAAGCTATTATCAGTAAATTTTTCTAAAGCATTTAGTCTCTTTTTGTTGCAAAATTATTAAAAGGCCTTTAGTTGGAATGTCACACAGAGACATCTTTATAGAAATGTCTATAGAGTTTCTACAAAATATGAAAAACAGAGCTTTCATCAGGTGAACTTCTCTCCAGTAGTTAAATAATCATATTGTAGTGGTACACACATATCCATGTTAGCAGCTGCACACCTCACAACAGCTAAGCTCTGGAAAAAAGCCAGATGTCCATCCACAGATGAGTGAATTAAGACAGTATGAGGTAGTCAGGCATGATGATGCATATCTGGGATCCTAGGGTCGGGGATGTAGCTCAGGGATGCCATGCCTACCTGGCAAGCAAGGTCCTGATTCAATCCCCAGTACTGAAAAAAATAACAGTACAATCCTAGCCCCCTATGAAGCTAAAGCAGGAAGATCCGACTCTCATGCTCAGCCTGGGCAAGTTAATAACTGATGAGAGTTCTTCTCAAAATAAGACTGGGGATGTAGCTTGGTGCTTAGACACTGGGTGAAATCACTTGTACTGAAAAAATAAGGTATGTAGATATAATGGAATTGTATTCAGTTAACCAAAATGAAGTGTCATTTTCAAAAAAATAGATGGATTTCAAGCCCATAGTGTTAAAAAATAACTAACACTTAGAAACTTCAGGGTCACGTGGTATAGTTTTTTGGGTCTTCAATGTATTGTCAGCAAATGACAGTTTAAGTTCTTCCTTTCCTATTGAATTGTTCCCTTTACAAGGATGTAGTGGCCTTCTTTGTCTCTCTTAATCAGTTGTGGCTTGAAATTTACTTTGTCTGTGAATAAGATAGCGATCCCTGCTTTTTCTGGGCTCCTGTCGCATGGAGGACTGTTTTCCATCCTTTCACTTTCAGTCTGTGGACTTCTTTTTGCACTAGGTGTGTTTCTTGTATGCAACATATTGTTGGATTTTGCTTCTTAATCCATTCTGCCAGTCTGTTTCTCTTGATTGGTGAATTGAGGCCATTGACATTGATTGTTATAACTGATGTTGTACCCAAGTCGCAAAATCCCCAAGAAGACCACCAAGGAGTCTCTTCTGATGCAAACACATAAGGAGTTTACTGCAGGCTTGAGCCTGGCAAACTTGAGCCTGGCAAACTTGAGCCTGGACCTCCAGTGGCACCGTCACAGCGGCTTCTAACTGAAGGCCTTGACCCATTTTCAAGACATGCTTATATAGGGCTGGGGATTGGTACTATTTTTAACTGTCCATTACTATGGGTTATTATTGGGACACTTAGGGGAAATACCTCATTCTCATGAGGGGAATTATCATACTCATGAGGAGCTCAGCAGGGGCACTCTATTTCTATTTTTAAGGAACACTAAGTGATTACACAATTAGGCAAACTCTCTGTACTCAGCAAAGCCTACAATATCTCCAACTTATTTTACAAACTTAAGCAATTATTGGGGAGAAGATAAATTCACTCTTGGGTCAGAAAAAGAGGAACAGAAAAACAGGGAGGAGGTTGTTATAGCCCTTGCCTAGAAAACTTGGTCTTTATGTTCTGAACAAAGGTCAAAGAGGGAGACCACCTTAATCGGAAAACTTGGCTCCTACAATATGTACTGACTTATTGTTGTCAAGTTATTGACCTTTTGTTGACTCTTTTTAATTTTTCCACTTCTCCCTTTAGTTTCTTGCTTTGCCTATTTGATTTGCTCTGTTGGGCCTCATGATGTTGTGACTTTCATTGTCTTTTTCTAGGATCTTGTTTAGAATTCCTTGTAGTGCTGGTTTGGTATTCATGAAGTTTCTCAGGTGTTCTTTGTCATGGAAGTGTCTTATTTCCCCATCCATTTTGAAAGAGAGTTTAGCAGGATACATCAGTCTAGGGTGGAGGTTGTTTTCTTTTAGGACTTGAAATACCTCACTCCAGGCTCTCCTTGACCTGAGGGTTTGTGTTGAAAAGTCTGCTGATTCTAATGGGCTTTCCTTTGCATGTGATATTTTTTCTTTTCTCATACTGCTTGTAGTATTTTGCTCTTCTGTTGGGTTTCTGGGGTCTTGATTGTGATATGTCTAGGTGTAGATTTTTTTTTTTAACCATGGCTAGTTAGAGTCCTGTATGCCTCACTTGTCTGTATGTCAAATTCTTCCCCTCTAGGAAGTTTTCTGTCATTAATTCTATGAACAGCTTTTTAAAATCATTTGTATTTTCTTTTGCTACTTCATGGATTCTTATCAGTGTTATGTTATTCTTCTTTGGATCATCTAGGAGTTGCTGGATTGATTTCTCATGATCCCTTACTGATTTTAAGAGTCCTCTCTTTTCATGGTCACTGACTGCAATCCTAGCTTCTATGTCTGAAATTCTATCTTCACATTTATTTATCCTGCTGCAAAAACTTTCGGTAGAGTTTTTAATCTCCTGGATATCTGAATCTGTTTCATGGATTCCATTTCTTTCCTATGTTGGACATGTATTTTTTTCCATTTCTTTCTTATGCTGGGCCTTCATGGCTTCTATCATGGTCCTGAACTCATCCATTTTTTTGTCAGTTTCTGTTCTAGAGTCTCTAATCATGTCTTTCATTGTGCTCACCATTTCTGTAGTTATCTGGGAAATTATTTCTGTTTTGAATTTTCCTAGAGCCTGATTGATCTGTTTTGTTACTTCCTGTGCTATGAGTTCAGAGTCAGACTTTTCAACTTCATTTGCCCTAGAGTTTGCCTTTGGTGAACTGGAAGTCTGTCTTTGTGTCTTGCTTAGGTGTTTTCTCATTTTTACTTTTGTTGTTGGGTTGTCCTTGGTTTAATTCCTGGGTTATTACTTAAATCTTCCTGATATAGTTGTGATTTAGCTGTTGACTCTGTAATGACTCGTAGACATTCTCATTTTCATAATATCAGAAAAGACAACTCACTGAATCAATCAGCAACACAATAGGTTCAAGCACAGCTTACAAATTGACTGTGGTAGTCATTAATCTATTATGTTTAAACATGATGTTTAAACATCATGTGAATTAAATCAAAATCAAGGAGCAGCCCAAAATACGTTTACAGCGAATAAACTCTTCAATGTAGCATCTTCACCGTTTAGGATGGGGGCTCAGACAGAGTTATGACAAGAGGAGTAGATAGGCAAAAGAATTGGAGAAGGTTTCTAGTAAAGCCAGAGGGCGCAGGATGACCACACAAACTTTAGGAAACTGTTGAAGACAAGAGTGAAAGACAAATGCAAGAATAAGGACAACAGTCTAACAACTTAACAGTATTAGGGAGTCACTTTCCTTTGAAACTATTGACCTTTGACTGAAGGAAAATTGTAGAAGAAAAGAAAGAAAGAAGAAAAATGATCAAAGAAGAAATCCAAGTTAGGGCAGGAACAGGAATAGAAAGGGAGATGAAGAATAATATGGGGGAGCAAGAGACTGAGTTGGAAAAAGAAAACAGAAAAAAGAAAGAATTTGCAGAGTGGAATGAAGAAAAGAAAGAAGAAAAAGACTTTGAAGGGCCTCTTTCACACTGTATCTCTGCTGTCATAATAGACAGTGTGCCCAGCCATGTGCAGAACTAAGTCCTTTAGTCTCAGGTAGCTGATGGCTGACCCCTTAGATTCAGGCTGAATTTGGGCTGCAAGGCCCACATTGAGCTCCCTGACCTCCTGCAGGGTTGAACTCTGCAAGGTTTTACTGCAGATTCCCTCTGCCCTTTCTCTGAAGATGTTCAAGTTCTGATGGAAGGTGGTGCTCTCTCCAGTTTTCCAACTATGGAGATCTGATGTGCCTTTATTGAAGTTGTTCACTTCTGTTCTGTCTTCTGGAGCTCAGAGAAAGGACCTTATGACCACCTCTGCCTCTGCAGAGTGGATCTGAGAACTGGCGCAATGAGGAGGCCTGAGAATGTGTGCGTGTGCGTGTGTGCATGCGTGTGTGTGTGTGTGTGTGCGTGCATGTGCATGCGCGTGCGTGTGTGTGTGTGTGTGTGTGTGTGTGTGGTGGGGTGGGATATTGCAGAGGCACCCGCGCAGCAAGCAGTCCTCACCAATTGGCTTGAGGCAGGCTGGAATGAGAAGGGATCTCTGCATGGCTGTCCCATACCTCCACCTTCCGCCTTCTGCTGGATACAGGGTGGGGTGAGGGAGGGGCAAGGGTGTTTGAATAGCACTGTTTTAGTGAGAGCTGTTGTCAGTCTATCCTGCAGAGTGTACATTGAATTCATGATCACATATTCTTAAGGGGCATCATACCAGATCTGATCCTGGTAAATCCTTAGTAAGGAGACCCTTTTAAATGTGATTATCATTTTATTATTTTTTTCTTTTATAGAAGTGAAGATGTAGAGAAATGCTACCAGTATAAATTATGGAATCCACATAGAGATACATCTTTTTGGACTTCAGACTCTAACATTAACCTGAAAACACTTGGTTCACAGCCAACTGAAAGCCTTGCTTGTAGAAATTCCCTGATTGGTCAGTCATCAGCAGATGTGCCCACCAGAGCTCACAGTGCACTCAAATCATGTGAGTATCCAGTATTGGAAATGAAGCTGTCTAATGAACATGGGGAAACCTGCAGCTGTTTCCAGTCCTTTCAGAAGCGTGCAGCCACAAGCCCTGAATATAAGCACTGTGAGAAACCCTACTCTGATTTCAGTGAAGACGATCACATTGGAGAGAAGCCCTTTCTATCTAAAGAAAAAGCTAAAGCCTTTGTATGTAAGCAGTGTGGGAAAGCTTTCACAAGTAACTGCCATTATAAAATGCACGAAAGAACACATACTGGGGAGAAACCCTATATATGTAAGCAGTGTGGAAAAGCTTTCACCAGCAACAGCAATTATAAAACACATGAAAGAATTCACACTGGGGAGAAACCCTATGCATGTAAACAATGTGGGAGAGCCTTCAGGAAAAAAAGTCATTGTCAAAGACATGAAAGTACTCATACTGGAAAGAAACCATATGTATGTAAGCAATGTGGAAAAGCTTTCATCACACGAGATAATTGTAAAAAACATGAAAGAACTCACACTAGAGAGAAACCCTATGTATGTAAGCAGTGTGGAAAAGCATTCACCACTCAAATTTCCTGTCAAACTCATGAAAAATATCATACTGTGGAGAAACCTTACGTGTGTAAGCACTGTGGGAAAGCTTTCACCACTCGCAGTTATTGTCAGACCCACGAAAGAATTCACACTGGGGAGAAACCATATGTGTGTAAGCACTGTGGGAAAGCTTTCATCAGTAACAGCACTTACAAAATACATGAAAGAAGTCACACTGGGGAGAAGCCTTATGGATGTAAGCACTGTGGAAAAGCATTTACCACTCATAGTTATTGTCAAATTCATGAGAAAACTCACACTAGGGGAAAGCCTTATGTTTGTAAGCAATGTGGGAAAGCATTTACAACTCTGAGTTGTTGCCAGATCCATGAAAAATCTCACAATGGGGAGAAACCTTACATTTGTAAGCTCTGTGGAAAGGCATTTACCTCTCAGCGTTATTGTCAAACCCATGAAAAAGCTCACAATGGGGAGAAACCCTATGTTTGTAAGCAGTGTGGGAAAGCTTTCATCTCTCACAGTCAGCGTCAAATACATGAAAGAAGTCACACTGGAGAGAAGCCGTATATATGTAAGCAGTGTGGGAAAGCTTTCACCACTCACAGTAATCGTCTCACACATGAAAGAAGTCACACTGGAGAGAAACCTTATGTATGTAAGCAGTGTGGGAAAGCCTTTCCTACTAGCGGTTCATTTGGTAGACATAAGATGAGTCACACTGGAGAAAAACCCTATGTATGTGATCAATGTGGGAAAGCATTTCCTTACCACAGTTCATTTTATAAACATAAAAGAATACACACTTCATAGAAATCCTACGTGTGTAAGCAATGAGTAAAAGCTATTACCAGTCAGTGATTTTCAAAGACATAAAAGAATTCACTCTGGAGAGAAACCTATGTATTTTAGCAATATGGGAAAGCATTCAGTGTACACAGGTGTTGTCAAATGCAAGAAAGTCATACTGAAGAGCAAACATTTTTATGTATGTAATCTGAGAAAGCCTTCAGTTATTCCAGTTATAATAGATATTATAATGTCACAGAGGCAAATTAATTGAATATGTAATATAACACTGAGAGAAAAGGACTCAGTTCAGGAATACAGAAAATCTTCAGTACAGACAGCTATCAGTACATGCATGGAAGAATTCATAGTCAGAAAATCTGAACATATGTGAGCCATGTGAAAAAGGTTATAGTTTTCCCAGTGCATTCATGTACATGAATGAATTCACGTGGGCGATAAACCACGTGTATGTAATCATTGGAGAAGACCCTTCAGTTCTTCCAGTTACCTTGAAATATGTGAACGAACTTACACCAGAATGAAACCCTACATAGAGAATGTGAGAAAGCATTTTGTTTCCTATAATGTTAGAAAAACATGAACAAGTTCACACTCAGTGTTAACATGGATGTGAGAAGTCTTCATTTATATGTGATTTTTTTATATGAACATTGTATTGTGGAGAAATCCATATAAGTGTATATTGTGCAGGAACAGCTCTAATCACTTATTCTTATCAACATGTATATTTTGTGGGAACACATCTCATTTTGGTTTTATTCATATTGCGAATGAACACAGTATAGTGACAAGCCATCTATATACAGAAAATACACCAGAAATAAAGCAGATTGGATCAAAGTCCTGGGTATGCAGGGTTCTCAATTATAAGTTGTATTATCAAAATCTTTGGAATGAAATGCATTAATGACTGATGTACTGAACAGTGTGCCTTATCTTTAATTATGCTTAGACCCTTAGCCATCAAGTAGCCAATAAAATAAAAACATTTATTTTGTAATGAAATATGACATATCTTATGTAATATATGAAGTATACTAAGATGCAGGGTATAAATTTTTACACCCTGCAAGAGGTGGCTTATTTCACTGTAGCTCATTTCTGATTCTTACTGTCATCGGGAATTTTAATAGTGCACACTGCTATTCTAGCCAAAGATGAAAGTAGAAGATAATTCATCCTGAGCACATTTATTTACCCATCTTCTTGGTATCAGTTAAGCTTACTGGCCCCAGTGGTTCCTATCTGTAATCCTGCATACTTAGAGAGCTGGATCACAAGGTTAAAACCAGCCTGGGCAACTTAGACCTTGTCTGAAAAGAAAATATGAAAAGTCTATGTGCATAGCTCAGTGCATAATTTTATTCCTTTTATTTTATATTTGAGTCAGGATTGCCAAGTAAAAAATACACACACATTAGGATGAAGGTGATGGTTTTAAGATCATCGCTGTAATTGTTTGGCGTGTATTCTTTTACCTAATATTCTTAGTGTTTTTCATTGCTAACTTATTTTTTCTTTTTTGGACTTGTGTGAATAGTACTTATTTTATCAGTTTCTCCAAAAGCCAGATTTTCTTATTTTTCTTTTGCACATGTTTAATGTCTGTTGTGTATCCCACTTTGCTTACTCCTTGATCATATTTCCTAAATCATTTTGGATGTGTTATCTTTCTTTTATCTGCTTACTTTTAAAGGAAGAAAAATGCACGTGCTTTAATTTCCACTTTCTATTTACTTTTGTCCATAGGGAATGTGCAGATATTTCCTCTCACTGTAGATATTTTCAAACCTTTGTTTCTTCTTGACTGTGAAATTCTTTACTACCGTGTCCTAATGGCTGACATGACAAATTATGTGACCTAATACTTTATCAGTAGTGTGATTCTTACTTTGTATCTTGTCCTGAGTTTTACTATATTTTGGATCTTGAGGATATTTTGGGTTTATAGGTAAACACAAAGGATTCTGGATTTTCCTGTTGATGTGAGGAGCTGTGGAATGAGAATTTCCGTAGATGACTAACAAACTATTCTGGCAGATTCACTAATGCACGATGGTGGAAGCTCCAGTTTGAATCTTAATTGCCCCCAAACCCTTCATATACTTGCTCTCCAGCCTGTTGTTCTTGACAAGTGGTGATAACTGGAAAAGGTGAGCCCTAGAGAGATGATTCATATCATTAGAGACATGCATGCCTTTGAAGAGCACTGTGGGCTCCAGTGTGTTCCTCCCTTTTTTCTTGTAACAGAAAAGAAGACCACTTCTTTCTCTCACGTGCTCCTGCCAGGATATTCTGCCTCATCTCATACCCACAAGGAACGAAGCAAAGCAAAGTACCAAGAGCTCTGAGAATAAGTCAGAAGTAACTTTTTAAGTTCATATACTGAGTATTTCAGGTATTTTTTAAAATAAGGGACACCTGAATATAAGAAAAAATGGGTCCTACGTGATGTAGCCGTCTTTTCCATTTCTATAGGCCTGATATATTGAGAGGATTTTGCAATTGAATTCCTTGGGGAGGTGGCATACATTTTGGGACTATATATGGGATATAAGCAGCCATTAATTGGTGGTTCATTTTGCAAATATCTGTTCATTTTAAAGTTTGTGTCATCAACTACATTACTCTATGATTTTTTCACAAATTACTTCATAGTATACACATATTTCTATTTGTGATTTTTAAATTTAAAAGCAAATCTGAAGCCAGAATATCATATTTTCATTACTGATATCCTATGGAATATGGAATCGTTGACATGACTTCAACTTTTAAATTTCTGTCCAAATTTATCTACTTGTAATTTTTCCTATTTTATCAAAGTATTTTAAAAATTCTTTTCAATACATTACAATAAGAAAACCCGTGAGACTGTTTTATTGATTCCGTGCTTTCATTTTTTTTTCTGTGATCCATGACTTTCTCCATAGGTTTTCCAGTATTACCATGTATCAGAAATATCCAGAGGGCTTATTGAAGTTCTCAAACAGCCACATTTTCTCGTTTATCAGCTACATGTTGGTGCGAGATGCTTAGCAATGCCATATGATAATAGTCAAGTAGTCATTTCCATTTTTTCTTCCTCATTATCCAGTTCTGGGACTTGAGTCCTGACTCTAATGTTCTTTGGGAAACTCAGAAACAAAAAATTAGGTTACATACTTCAATATAATCAGAAAAGTACTTTATAATCTCAGAGAAGTTCAACAATAAGATGTTTATCATAACAAAACCAACAATTCCTGTAAATGAACATTCAATGAATGAAATAAATACAATCAAGAAACACCAGACTAAATGTAGCAAAAAATTTCTGGACTTTAATACAGGTCTCTTATTAATCCAATGAGAGTGGAAAGGAAAAATAAAAGACTGAGATCTCAGTGAGCAGTGGTGTGAACCAAAGTGGCACAGCTGCAGGCAGATCCCAGCCAGGGCCCAGCCATAATCCCAGTGGCTTGAGCACACAGGCCAAAGTGAAAGGCCCACCTGGAAAAGAGCTGTGCAGATGCACAAGCAACAGCCAGAGGCTCACCCTGATACCACAGATAAATGCACAGAGAGACCCTAGCCAGAAGCCAGTTCAGACACCAGAGACTGGGGTGCACAGCCCGCAGCCAAAGGCCCTCAAACAGCTACATAAGGGCCTTAGCCAGGGATACACCTAGATGCCATCCCAAGTGTGCACAGGCCCCAGCCAAAAGCGGGCCCAGACAACAGGTCAGCTCAGGGATCCCAAAAGCCACCATTCCGAACCCAGGAATTGGTGTACTGGTGAGTAGCAGAGAAGAGGCTGCTCCATGGCATGCTGAGAACTGAAGAACACTAGGTGAGCTAAAAGTTGCCTCAACAAAGGCACAGCAGGCTGCATCTGTTGAAATGAGGAGACACATAAACAAGTCTCAGAACCAGACTTCCAGATCACATAAGGCAACCACAAGCCACCTGGACTCCCTGAACTGGAAATGAAAGAGGATCTGGAAAAAATGAAATCAGAAATAATTTCTCAAATAACAAGAGGTGGTGCCCATAGTGCAAGACATGATTAATGTGGAGCAGACACACACACACACACACACACACACATATGAGGAGCTGAGGTACATGAGAGAATCCCAACATAGGATACAAATGGAATCCATAAAACACATGCAAACATTTTCAGGAGATTAAAAACTCCTTTGAAAGTTTATGCAGCAGAATGAGCCAATATGAGGACAGAATTTCAGATACAGAAGATAGGATTGCAATGAGTGACCAGAAAAAAACTGCTTAAAAATAGTAAGGGACCGCAAGAAATCAATCCAAAAGAAGAATAACATAAGACTGATCAGAGTCATTGAAAAAATAGAGAGTGCAGATATTTAAAAAAAGGTTCATGGAAATATGGCAGAAAACTTCCCAAAGAGGGGTAAAGAACTTGATATACAAATGAGTGAGGCATGTAGGACTCCAGCTAGCCATGATTTTTAAAAAATCTTCACATAGGCATATAATAGTTAAGATTCCCAAAATAGTTAAGAAACCCAAAAGAAGGACAAAATTCAATAATCAGAGAAAAGAAATAAACCACATACAAAGCAAAGCCCATAAGAATCACAAACCCTCAAGGCAAGAAGAGCTTAGAGTGATGTATTTCAAGCCCTAAAGGAAAACAACCTCCAACCCAGATTGTTGTACCCTATGAAACTATCTTTCAAAATTGATAGAGAAATAAGATACTTTAATGACAAAGAACACCTGAAGAACTTCATGAACACTAAACCAGCATGTCAAAAAATTTTAAACACTATCCTAGGAAAAGACAATGAGAATTACAACCCCAGGAAGCCCAACAGAATGAATCCACCAGGCACAAGAAATTAAATGCAATGAAGGAAAATCAGTGAGACCCTGTCCTGGAACTCACTATGTAGCTCAGGCTGGTCTTGACCTCACAGCAATCCTCCTGCCTCAGCCTCCTGAATGCTGGGATTACAGGCATGTGCCACCATGCCTGGCGAAACTGAAATAATTTCATTAACACATGGACATTGAACACCACCCTGCTGAATAACCGATGGGTCACAGACAAAACTGAACAGAAATCAGACAGTTTCTACAATTAAATGATAATGACAATGCAACATATCAGAATCTGTGGAACACAATGAAAGCAGTCTTAGGAGGGAGAGTCACAGCAGTAAATACTCATATTAGGAAAACAGAGCAAGCTCGATTAACCTTATGGTGAACCTTCAGCCTCTAGAAAAAGAAGAGCAGGACAAACCCAGAACTCATACAAGGGAGGAAATTATAAAGATCAGAGCAGAAAGTAATACAATGGAGACTAAGAGAACAGTGCAAAAAATCAATAAAGGCAAGAGTTGGTTCTTCAAAAGAATAAACATAATTGACAAATGCTTACCCAACCTTATCACCAGAAGGAAAGAAAAGGCCCAAATCCAGGAAATTAGAGGAATAAAAGGGTGAAATTACAATGAACCCAGGAGAAATCCAGAGGATCATCAGTAACTACTTTGAGAGACTATATACCAATAAGAGGGAAGATACAGAAATGGACAGATTCCTAGATATGTATGAATTACCAGCATTGAATGAAGACAACCTAAAAATTCTGAAAAACCCAATATCAATCAATGAAATTGAAAACAATGTACCAAACAAAACAAAACAAAACAAAACAAAAAAAACTGGCCCTGATGGCTTCACTACTGAATTGTACAAGACATTTAGAGAGGAACTACTGCCAGTAGTATTTAAATTCTTCAATGAAATTGAAAGGGAAACAGTACTTCCAAATTTATTCCTGGAAGCAAGCATCATCCTGATCCCCAAAGCAGAGAAAGACCCAACTGAAAAAGAGAACTATAGGCCAATCTCACTAATGAACATAGATGCAAATTTCCTTAATACGATACTGGCAAATAGAGTGCAGAAGATCATCAAGAAGATCATACACCCTGACCAGGTGGGATGCATCCCAAGGATGCAGGGATGGTTCAACATGTGCAAATCAATAAATGTAATTCACTGTATTCATAGAGCCAAGGACAAAAGCCATGTGATCATCTCAACAGATGCAGAAAAAGCATGGAAACAAAATCCAACTTGCATTCATGATACAAACCCTACAACAAATTGGAATAGATAGTCTCTACCTAAATCTGATAAAAGCCATCTATAAAAAACCAGCAGCCAATATACTAAATGGTCAAGAACTGAAATCCTTCACAATAAAATCAGAAACAAGACAAAGATAACCACCGTCACCACTCCTGTTTAGTTTTGGAAACATTAGCCACAGCAATTAGACAAGAGAAAGAAATAAAAGGAATAAAGATAGGAAATGAAAAAAATCAAATCATTATTTGCAGATGACATACTCTATATAGAAGACCCCCCAAAATGTGACCAAAAGTCTTTTAGACTTAATAACCAAATTCAGTAAAGTAGCTGGGTAAAAAGGTCAACACACAAAAACAAGCTTTCCTGTACGCAAACAGCAGACTCACTGAGAAAGAAGTGGGGCAAACAATTCCTTTCACAATAGCATCCCCAAAATTGAAATACCCAGGAATCAACCTAACAAAAGAAATCAAAGACCTCTACTCTGAAAACTATAGCACTCTGAAATGAAGAGGGTATCCGAAAATGGAAAGACATCCCTTGTTCCT